ATGGATTTTCCCCCAATGTAAAGCTAATAGGTCTCTGGGATTCTTTGTACCCTTGGTCTGTCCTGCCAGCACTGGACTCCCGCTGTGAGTTACCAGCTCTGTGGAACAAATAGGAAAGGCCAGTTTATTTAGTGAATGTTTCTAGAGCTCCTACTGGGAACAGAGCTCTTGCTGTGGACGTAAGTCCTTGAGCAATTCCCAGCCTGGCAGTGGAGCCTGGCAAGGATTGCCGTAGGGGCTTCCCAGGGGGACTTGTCGGACCGATGCTGGTAGGAAGCCTTCCTAGAAGAGAGGCTCTTTGGGCTGGGTCCTGTAGAATGGACAGGATTCGCTAGATGGAGTCCACTTGGTGGTTCTGTGGTGGGGGAAGCATGCCGCAGCTCTCTGGGAGGGCCTCAGGCTCTGAGCGAAGCAATCCCTACCAACACTATCTGGGGGAGACTCGGTCAATACAGGGCAGTGATCTCAGCGCGCTCTCAGCCCACTCCTGCTAACTAACATCTCTAAGTGGGGCGGCTCCCTCAGGAGAATTAGTGGCATCTCCAGGGCAGAGCTGGAAGCCATAATAAGCATATTGATGAATACACTTCCATGTTTTGTACCTGCCTCTTTCCTCCTGCTATAGCTGCCTTCCCTTAGAGGTTTCCAGAAAGGCAGGTCAGGTCACTCATCTTCCCTTTCTATAGTAGTGTGTGTGTGTGTGTGTGTGTGTGTGTGTGTGTTTTGGAAAGGAGAGACGAGATGTTTCCTTGTTAGTTCAGTGGCTCCCACGCCAGACAGCAACAGAAACACCTGAGGGGCTTGTGAACGTGCAGGTTTCTAGATCCCACCCAGTCTGGAAACAAAGGTTCCCAAAGTCTGCTCTCGAAGAGCAGCCCCGTTGGTTCTTATGAGCCACCCAGGTGTGTTCTCAGAGCAGTGGGCCCCCCGGCCAGGCTCCCTGCCAGGAGACACAGCTCTTGTCCACAGACCTCTCCCACATCCTGGCTGAAGTGTCACTCTAGGAAAGGACTCCCCCCAGGCACGCCCCGTGTCAGCCTCAGACATGTGAAGGGGGCGACCTGTTGTGTGACAGCCCCCTTCCCAGCCCATTGCTTCCCTGCCCATGTGCCCCATCTGCCCATGGTGCTCAGAAGATGCTCAGGAAGGAAGAGCAGCAAACACTGGGCTCCTTTTCCAGTTCTGTCTGTCTCTCTGGCAGTCCGGGATGCCCCGGACTATGGGAAATGGGCAGGGCATAGGGGAGGGCAGCTGAGGTTCTTGTGTCCCCCAAACCTTGTCTGGCTTGAGGCCACCACAGGCATGGTCTCAGAGACGTGGAAAATGCAGGGAGCGGAGGAAAGCGCCAGCCGCAGAACCTGACTTGTTCGCCGTCCTTAGGCCTGATCCTTTCCTCCTCACCACAGCAGACGGAAACGGACACTGGCACGTCCGGTCAGGGAGGGACACAGAGCGCATCCTTTCTCCTGCTTTTACCTGGTGCCTTTGGGGAGCTATTTCTTTTCAAGTAGACTCTGGGTTTCTTGGAACAGGAACCTTGTGTTATTCGTGCTGTTATTTCCCTACATGGCACACAGGGGGGCTCAGTAAATGGGGAACGACCGACTGATGGACACGTGTGCATCTGGTGCCTGGGTGCCCCTCTGCGTGTCCCCGGGAGTCTCTCAGCGTCCATCTGGGCCTCCCTCTGCGGCCCCCGGAGTGTTCGCCTCCACTCTGTGAGCCTCTGTGTGTGCCTCCCGCTATGTACGTCCACATGTCGGTGGTCAGTTTCCGCGAGCCTCTTAATTCCACTCGAAGTCCATCCTCCTTTCTGCTGCTGGTCAGCCTCCTTCACAGGAGAGCAGGGGGCTTGCAGCTTCAGCCCTCAGGTGGAACCTGCACCACAGCCGCTCCAGCAGGGACACGTCATCCTCACCTTCCACTGCCCACCGCACAGACGCTCCACACCTACCGCGTCTGCTGGTGTCCTTGTCGTCTGCAGGCTCAGACCCCCTCAAGGGCCCCGCTTTGCTGACAGGCCAGGCGTTGGAGCCGTGCTGGGGTCAGGGCTCTGTGGTCTCTCACTGGGAGTGGGGCCAGAAGGCTGGGCTGAGGAATACACTTGCGGTCTCAAGCCTTCCTCAGCTTTATAAATTCGGGGGGTGAAAGGGCCCTGAGGGGTCTGGGTGCCAGAACCTGCCTACTGAGGAAGAGCGTCCACCAACAAGGCCGGACTGCCCACGCTGAAGCAGATGCTCACAAGGCCTGGCTTGGCTGCGAGGAGCAGGTGCCTAACGAGCTTAACTAGTGCGGGACCCACAGAGGGTCTAATGCCTCTGGTGGCATTTCATAGCCAGGGCCTGGGGTGAGGGCATGACTGAGGGCCCCAGAGTTGAGGGAATGCACGGTCGGTCAGTGCAGGAACCGAGGACGGGCCTTCTCTGAAGAGGGAACAGGCCAAACTGCCTCCTGAGCAAAGGTTCGTGACTCCGATGCTCTGCAGGCCGGGAAACAGGGCTGTGGGGCGAGGAGCCGCATCTGAGGGACCTCTGATGAGCACCAAGCTGCTTGCTCTACAAGCACCCCCCATGATGCTAATGGAAGCAGCCAGTACACCACCTCTGGGCACACAGGGAGGCTTTACAAGACACACAAGAGTTCGTTCTGTGTATCTAGAAAGCACAAAGGCAGGGAGCCCCACTGGCTTCCCGCCGACAGGCAAAGCCAGGGCCCGGCCACTTGTCACTCAGATGCACCGCCTAGTCATTAACCTCTCCCCACTCAGCTGCCCGTGGGGTAGTCAAGCCTTTGGCAAGTCAGGTGGTTTTCAATTCATTTCTTTCAGCCAAATTTAAAGAGGACTTAATCACGTGGTGGCCTGACACATTATTTGGTTGATAGATCACTATGCAGTTTTTGGCATACGTCTCAGAAGGAGGTCAGAGACCCGAGTGACATCTACTTATTTATGTGAAAAAGCTCCTCATTCTTAGCATGTGGAGCTATAAAAATGAAAAAGAAAGAAAAGATGCTAAGTCCTGATTCATTCCAGCAATAAATATTCACCCACAGATTCATGAACAATTAAATTCCTATCCATTCCATTAAGATGGGTTTTCAATAAATTTTCCTTTTGTAAGGCTTTACATTTGCCTTACAAAAACTTTCAGTGTCTGTGTTATATTAATCAATTGTACCCTATATTTTATATCAAAAGTAGTTGTGATAACTCAATCCAGAAGATGTTTTTAAAAAAACTCTTTACAAATTTTAGTCACAGAAAATTAAATAATTCTATTTCAATTTCTAAATATATTTTGTGGCAGAGAAGTATGATAAGGTGAGCAAGGAAAGACTTTCAACCATAAAAATACTACATTAGTATAAAATTCTATGGGGGAAATGGGATGAAGACACAAGTTCAAAGAGAAAAGGAACAACGTAAAATTTCCAGCTCCTCAGGAAGAGCTGGTTAGCTTTTTTTTTTTCAAACAAAAGAGGCTGGCTATTAAATCACAGCTGTGTTTGGATTCTGAATGATATATTTTAAAGTGTTGCGGCAGTTTTATTTTAAAAGTGTAAATATTTGCTAAAAGCCAGAAATCACCTTTCTCACCAATTTAAAAAAATGTGAAAAAAATATTAGATGGCAACTAAAAAATATGCAAGATGGGATACATAATAAAAAAAAAAATACGTTGTGGGTATTCCTAGAGCAAAAGCCCTTTTGAACCCCGACCTGATGGCTCCAGCCTCCCCTCCTCCGCTCCCACCCTCTCCTGGAACTTCCTCATGGTGTTGTTCACAAATACTGTGGGGCCTTGTCTACACTTGCCTCCGGATTTTAGAACATTTTCGGATGGGCTGTGGCGTGCTGGGCGAGCTGCACCTCTCCTCTGTGCTGAATTGAACTGCCCTCGGTAGGAAAGGAGGGCTAGAGACTGTCTTGGGGGAGTAAGGGACAGACCTGCAGACACACAGGTCAGAGAGGAGAACCAGCCCTGCACCGGGGCCATGGGCTCTGCAAACGAGAGAGGATCCAGCCCCCCATCCTTGGCCACGGCACCCCTTCGTATGTCTGGTTGACTTGACCTGAGGGGAAGCCGTTTCCACAGAGGCATGGTTTATTTCACAGAGAGCCGAGATGTTTCTGAAGGGGAGGCTGAAATGAAGCCCGGTCTGTGGTGGGAGCTGGGAGATTCGTTCTAGTCACCAAAGACCTAATTGCTTTCTTTCTCCTTGTCCCCGGCCACCATGCTTCTCCTCCTCGTTTCATCTGCACTATGTGTCTGGTTGCCCTAACTGTGTCTTCCTTCCCCACGTGTCCCTCCCCAAGGCTCTTGAGTCTGTGGACTAGGCCGAGAAGAGGTGTCCCGGGACAGGAAGCAGCATCCTTCCTAGGACCCCAGAGATGGCTGGGGAGGGGCGGAGAGACGGCCTGCTCTGGGCTGGGGTCTACGTGAGAGCCCCTGGGAGGAAGCCAAACTAATTCTTTGCTTCCAGTTGCTGTGAGGGCAGCCCTGAGCAAGGAAGCAGAAGGCCGGGAGCAGGGAGCAAGGCCGAATGTCACCCTGCTGTTGGTGGGACGGCCCTCACAGAGAGGGGAGCCCCTACTGTGCCACGAACGAGCTGTGTGACTCGGGCAGGCCCTTCCTGGCACTGGGCCTCGGTTTCCCCGCCTGTGAATGGGGCTACAGTGAGGATGCAGGGAGAGAGGCTGGTGTGGGCAGATGCCTGAAGACATGTGACCCGCTCTTCTTGGGGGGTGGCCCCTGTGCCATCCCTCTGCACTGAGACTTTGGGCCTAGTGGGCCTGGCTCCTAAGAGCCTCTCGCACAGCCTGCTGCCGCACGCCTCTCTCCAGCCAGCAGGGCGGGCCAGCTGACGTCTCCCCTCCCTTCTGCCCCCACCAGGGCCCGAGCGGCGAGGTGGCAAAGTGAACCCAGAGATAGGCGCCCCACGAGGATAGGGAAGCTGTCCTGCTGGTGGAGTGAGGAGCAAGCGGGGTGATGGAGGGGTCACAGGGCGGCCGTCTGCTTGATGCTGTGGAAGCTGATCCGTGTGGGCGACGTGGGGATGGACATGGCCCGGGCCCCGGGCACTCGGAGGGAGTGATGGTCCTGCCAACGGTGCCACCTCTTCCTCACGGCCGAGCGCACCTGCGGGGGAGGCAGAGGCTCAGCGGGGCCTGCGGGGGGCCAGTCCTGGGAACTGGGAGGCTTCTCCTCTGCTCTCTGCCCCTTGCAGGGCCCTTGAAGGGAGGCTGGGGTGCCCTCCCGACCACCACACTCACACCCAGGGAGCGACTGGCTGGTTCCAAAAGCAGGTCCTTCCCCTGAAGCCGTTAGCCCCAGAAGCTCCTGCCGTCGGTCCTCATTCCTCTCCTGGAGAAGCTCCCTGCTGACCCTTCCTTGGGACACACTGCCTTCCCTGCCCCATCCCTCTGCCACCTCCTCTTTACGGTGGGACCCAAGCAGCAGGTTCACACATCTGCCTCTTGCTCTCCTGGGCACCTGCTGAGCTGCGCGCTCTTCTCGCGTACTTGGCATCCCTCTCCCTCCTGAAAGCCCTTCCTCCAGCCCCCTCCAGCCCCCTCCACCAGCTGACGGACCCTGCCTCACTGGCCATAGCATGTGCTGCTGAGATGGAAAACTAACAGTTCTAGTCATTTCAGAACCTGATCGTTGCCGGTGCCGTATTATTCTCATTCGTTTTGCAACTAAAGTTTTCTGCAAAACGGCTTGTGTTCCCCATATGCTAGGCTAGCATGTGGCTGACCAGAATAAATGCCCCAGAGGCACTGTGTGTTTGCTTTAGCAGCTTTCTCTCCCTGCCCTCCAGCCCCGGCCAGTCTTCACTGTCAGACTTGCCCATGTGAGGTCTGCTTTGATTGCCAGAGACCTAGGTGTGCAGAGACCGCCCCCCACCCCCGACTGTCACCCTCTGCACAGGCAGGGGAAGGGCCTCAGGATGGCGTTGGCGTTCCTCTTGAGTGTTCGGAAGCTCTCGGGACCTGGGGCTGTGTCTACTCTTTGCCCCATAGCCCACTGTGTGTCCTCACCCACCACAGGCCGGTGTGAGCCTCTCTCCCAAGTTGCTTATGCGGAGATTCTGGGCTCTGTGAGCTAAGTAGACTGTCCCCGGTGCCTCGTTCCCTGGCATTGGCCCCAAGGCGTGTGGTCTGCTCTGTGGTGGGGGAATGTGCTGGTGTCTTTCCTGCTCCCTGCGTCCATCAAGGCCTGGGTGCTCAGCTCACACCTGGCCCGCTCCTGGAATGCCTTCGCCTGTTACCCGCTGTGCCCTGGCTCCTCCTTCCAGGAGACCCTGCAGCCTGGGCTCCCTGACCAGCCAGCCCTCCAAGTGCCTTTGTGAAGTGCCGGCCTATTGTTTCCAGCCTGCACAGGTGACCTTCTAAGCTGGTTTGAGACGCTCGGGCAGGACTCCTGTTTCCCAAAGCTGGGTGTGGTTCCTCCGGCCTTCCCCTCCCCTGTCCAGGGCAGAGCTGAGCAGAGCCAGGGACCCTCCGCTGGGCTGGGAACTGAGGACGGCCCTGGAGCCTGGTCTCATACCTCTCCATTGAAGAAGCAGTAGAAGACAGACACAAAGAAACCCTGGAAAGGAAGGAGGGAAGGGTCAGTGACCTGCTTGGGGAGCCACTCTGCAGGGATGGCTGGGAACACCTGGGCCCGGGACCCCAGAGCTGGAGGGGAGCCCACCCCTCATGGTGCGGGTCTACTGGGGCCCACGGGAAGCGACAGGCTGTCAGAAATCCTCAGAACAGGTGCTGGGCCACCAGGAGGTGCAGGCTAGTGTGATCAAGAGCCAGTCAGGGGGTGAGCCCGCCTGACCCCTGGGGTCGGGGTGCCAGGGCCCGGGGCTGGGGTTCAGTGTGTGCATGCACTTATGTTTCAGTGTGAACCATGTCCCGTGTGAGGTCTCTGTGAGGACACTGGTGCCCCATCTTGTCCCACAGCCCACCTGGAAGGATTGCAGGAAGGAGTTGAAATAGATGAACACAATCTGCGACAGGTCGTCCTCCCCAGGGTTGACAAAGAAGAGCATGTAGGTGATGCCCAGGAGGGGCAGCAGGACCAGGGTGGCCTTTACCGCCTTCCTGGGAAGTGAGAGGGTGACAAGACTGGTCTGAGTCCACACTGCAGGCAGGGTCCCACTCAGCGGCCATTTCTTCTGGGGCCCCGAGCAAGCTCGCTGGCTGAGGACTAGGAGGATTTGGAGGGCCCTGCCCGGATGCCCTCCTCGTTTCTGTCGTCTGGGGGTTAAGGCACCCATCATCCACCTGTACTGGATCATCTCCGATGTGGTGGATGCTCGCAGTTTTGTCATGAGGATCCTGACGATGTTGAAAAGAAATACAAAATTGACCTGGAGGGAGGGAAGGCAAAGAAAGAAGGACCGTGAGATGGGGAATGAACCGAGAGGCGGCCACTTCCCCCTATAACCCACTGAACCCCACGTCCCATGCACACATACGTCCTACCCGTCGCCCAGCCCCTGCCTGCGGTCCCAAGGCCTACGCTTCTCCCTCACCAGGACGGGCAGAAGTCCCCGTCCCCTGAAGGCTCCACGGCCCGCTTCTCCACCTTCAGACCCGAGGGGGGAAAGGAGCCTTGGAGGCAGTGACCAAGGACACAAAGGCCACTTCTCCTGAGGCATGGCTCCTCAGAAAGTCCCCCACGCCCCTGCCCCACTCGGGGATGCCACAGGTGAAGCCGCCCAGGACTCCACCCCAGTCCCTTGCCCTGTCTGCTGCAGGGTGCCCCCTCGTCGACTGAGGGTTCCCCTGAGGCCCTGCTACCCTGGGGGAGTGGACCTGGCCAGAGGGAGTGACTGATCTCTCACCAGCCCTCCCTTGCACCCAGGAAAATGCTTCCCAGGCACGTCTGAGGCCATGAAGCTGAATGGGCTGCTGGGCTGCTGGGCTGGCTCCAAGGCTCCTGGAAGGGCCTCATTTATCTTCCTTTTGAGCCTTTTCTCGGCATCAGAGCCGATGCATCCAGTCTCTTCCCAGGACTGGCCTGCGGGGCCGCCCGAGGCATGCTCGTGCTGTGGATGGTCTCTGTGGGCCTGCCAGTGTCTCGTCCATCCGCACTGGCTTGTCTGTGTGGCTGTGCGCTGCCCTCCAAACGCTTCGGGGTGGGGGGGGTCTGTTCTCTGTGCTTGTGTGAGTGTGTCCACATGAGAGCCTGTGGATCTGGGGACGTGGGCATGCTGGCGTTTCTCTCCATCCATCTCCAAACGTGAGCAGACAGGAGAGTGGGATTCCCTTTCTTTCAAATCTCTCCCAAGGAAGTGCCCATGGGTCAGAGGGCGTCTGCTGGCTCAGGCATATGCACCGTGTGAGTACATGTGCGCGCGCGTGCGCGCGCACACACACACACACACGTTCCGCCCGAGGCTCTGTCCCAAGAATCCGTCACTTCTTAAGCCCTCCTAAGTTCTGGACCCCAGGCTGAGAGTGGGGGGACACTGGCAGACACCAGGGAAGAGAGAGCCCTCTGGCCTCTGCACGACCCCAAAGCCGGAGGAGGATCTGGGGGCCTGGAGGGCTCGGGCTGCTCCTCAACCTCAGCCGGCAGCTCTCACGCCCACGGTGGCATGGCCTGCAGAACCCAGGGTGAGGGGTGGGCGGGAAGCCTTCAGCCAGGGGCCTGCTGCACCCTGCTCCTTAAGGCTCATCTAATTTCTGGCTCCTGGGTTTTTGGTATATTCCCTTGGATCACAGGTCAATCTTAATTTAGATCAATCTTAATTTTCTTGTACAAGTGCTACAAAAGACTTGACCTTTTCTGATTCTTTCTGACTTCTGTGACAGTAGAGCCTGTTGGAATCAAAATATATTCTGATTTCTGGCACATTCCCTGCATTCAATCTATTTACCCATCATCCATCAACCCACTAACCAATTCATTCAATTATCCATCCATCCATCCATCCATCCATCCAAATACCTACTCAACAATCCATTCGTCAGTTTATCTACTCCTCCCCCACCCCATGCTTCCATTCCGTCAATAAGCTGCAGAGCACTTCCCGGCTGAGGGTCCTGTTCCATGTGCTGAGGCAAGAGCAGGGACAGGGTCTGGTGCCGAGGAGCTGGGATACAAGCCTTGTCCCCCCTACTCATGTGAGGCAGGCAGTCAGTGATGCTGCCCCCACTCCATCTCTGCCTGGGCCTGGGCAGTCTGAAAGTCACTCTTTCCTTGTCCCCAGCCACCCCCTTCACAGCATCTTCTCCACCTCACCCCACCACAGGTGTCTTCCCTCCTTCTCCAGGGAGCCTCGGGGCCCCAGCCCACACAGAGCTCTCCGCTCTTGGACCTCCCACTTCCTCCAACCCCAAATCCGAGTCCTTCAGTGAGCGCTGGCTATTATGGTACCCTAGCCTTGTCCAGTCTAGTTTCTTTCACTCACTTACTCACTCACTCACTCATTCATTCGTTCGTTCATTCATTCAGTGAGTTAACTTGCCATGTGTTAGGTCCCTGCTCCCAGAAGTTTTGTGGCCGGGCAGAAAGGGGTCAGAAAGGCCTAGAGAAATGGTCCTTGAGCTGGGGGCTGAAGGATGGTGGGGGACTGTGTTCCAGGGGAGAAAGCCCTGGGGCGGAGGAGACAGGCCAGTTGGCAGCTACTGTGGCTAAGGTGAGCCCAAGCATTGAAATCTACCCCCTTCTAGAATAGCAGCTGCAGGGCCCTCCCAGCCCAGAATGTTCCTAGGGCAGCCTGCATGGCAGGGGCTCTGAGCATGCGGAGTGGAGAGGGTTTGAGGTGAAAGGGTAAGGCCAGACCCCCTGGAGAAGCTCCCCTGGAGAAGTCCAGCTTCGTTCCTGCCCCGTGTTTCCTGGAGCTCTGATGCCGGCAGCTCCCACTGGCACGGTCACTCCTAAGGAGGCTCTGTGGGAGGGGCGCCCCTGCCTGGTCAGAGCCCCAGCCTGGCAGGTGGTGGTGCGTGTCAGGCCCAGACTGGGTATTATGGTGGCTACGGGGACAGACAAGGGAGGCTTAGTGCTCCCTAACGTGGCCCAGGACACACACCATTCCAGGTTTTGTTCCAAGCACTTCATGGCTACTCCTCCAGCAGCTGACTTTATGCGGTAGGTGTGATCATTATTCCCATTTTACAGATGTACAAACTGAGGTTCAGCTAGGCTCTATGGCTTGCCCACACCACACAGGTAGGAGGCCCTGGTGTCAGGATTTGAACCGAGCTGGCCTCAGCGTCCGCCTCCTGACCTCTGCGTCATGCTGTTGCTCATGTGGGAGTTCATGAAATCTGGGCCAGATGCAAGGACGCGGAGGGAAGGCACTGGCCACACCACCAGCGAGGGGTGATCGGAGCTCAGGAGCGCACCACAAGGCCCATCAGCGCTGGAGCCAGACCCGTGGCTCCAGGTACGAGGAGGACAGGCTGGAGGCGGAGCCCCAGGGCTACCATGGGTCCTCCCGGTGACCCCATGAAGCAGGGACTGGCATCGTGGTGTTAGAGGTGAGAAACCAAGGCTCCAAGCGAGGAGGTCCCTCAGGGTCCCAAACCCCAGGGGGCCGTGACCAGGGCCTGTTCCAGGATGCCCCACGGCATAGCGCCTCCCACCAAGGCAGAGAAAGTAAACCGATCCATCTCACCAGTGCAGAGCACCCTGGGTCCTCCCCACCCCTGGAGACCATGAGGGTACTTGCTAAATCTGGTGCTCATGGGAGACCCTCCTCGAACTTCACTGTCGCTTGTGCAGAGGCAAGCAGAGAGGGAGACGGAAAGGGGACTGACGTTTCTGCCTCCTGGGCTGCCGACATGGCTCCCAGCCTCGGAGACAGGCCCTGCTCCCTCCAGGTCTGGGTATGGGGCAGGTTTACTGGGGTGCTGCCAACACAGCTCAGGTCCCATCTCTCACTGTTCCCCTGCTCTCAGTTTCCCGCACTGCACCTCTGCCGGGTCAGTTAAACACGGCCCATCTGTCTGTCCCACGGGCATCTGTGGAGCCCAGTGTTGGCCAGATGGACTTGGGGGTGCCCCCAGAAGCCTGGAGACCCGTCTGGGGCCTAGTCCTCACCAGGTGCCTCAGCTTTCTCCTCCTGTTGGCATGCTCTAGGCAGGTGAAGCCTCAAAGGCCCATGCCCCAAGGACTACTCTGTGCAGGGCCCTGCTTGGGCCACAGAGGAAGCCCAGACAACCCGCATCCCTGCCTGGCAGGGCCCCGGGCACCACGGTTCTCCAACACCAGTGTACACATCCAAGGTACCCGGGGCCCTTCGTCCAAATGCAGATCTTGGGCTCACCCCAGACGTTCCCAGGGGCAGGTGGGGGGCCTGGAATTCGCATGTGGAACCGGGGCTGCTGGGGCATTGCTGGGAGGCACACAGAACGAGGAGACTTTAGTCAGACAGACCCAATGCTCCGTGCCCCGTGGGAGCCCAGCCGGGGGTCCCTGCAGTTGCCGGGGACACTTCTCAGCCTCAGGCTTCCTCTGGCGCCAGGAGAGCTCAGCCTCACAACAGAGGGACCTGGAAATATGCAGGGTTCATGTCCTGGGGGGCAACCTCCGCTGATGAGGCAGGACGTGTGCGGAGAAGTGATCCAGCTTCCGAGCCTTCAGCAGGGGGCTATTCTGACACTCTTCCACGTGGTTGTGCCCATGGAAGCCAGCTCATCACCTCACCCGGGCTTCCTCCCCGCCTTGTCTTCCACTCCCACCCCTCACGGTGCTTCCTGGGACCACCTTCCAAGTGAACGCCTGGCACCAAGTTCTTGTCACATGGCTCTAATTCTGGCACTCGCGTGGCCTTGGGCAAGTTGCTTCATTAACCTCCCTGAGTTTCTGCGTCCTCACCAGTCCAAAAGGGACACCACAGAGCCTGTCTCAGAAGGTCGATGCGGGTAAAAATACTCATGGAGAGCCCCGAGCCCCGTGCCTGGTCCAGAGCGGGACCCAGTAAGTGCCACATGCTTTTCCCATGACAACACAGTCACAACAGCTTCCTGCAAACCGAACCAGCCAATTCACTTCCTGGAACCCAGAAATAAGCTCAGTCATGTCTTTCAGCAGCAGAAATGCAGCCATGAATCAGGGGAGGGCAGGGGTGGCGGGCTACTGAGCATGTATAAAACCAGAGGACAGGCAGGGGGTGGGTAACCGGCCCCTGCGTCTCAGCTCAGCTAGCTCCTAGTGGTGACTTGGGGCAGGCAGTTTCATCTCAACTTCCTCAGCTGTAAAATGGGGATCATAATTCCTATTTCCAGGCACAGACGATGTGAGATTTGGAAGTTATGAAGATGGAGCTGTTGGACAGGCTCAGTGCGGAACCTGGAAGCCCCATAAGTGCAATAGCTGGGTGTGGGGGGTGGGCTAGGCCCAAAGGGAGACGCAAAGGGCTCTTGGGCCAAGTGGTGCGGGTGGAAGCAGAGAAAGGGGCAGGGAGGAACAGGCAGGGAGTGGGGGCTGACACGGAGCCCTCCATGCCCGTCTCCCTTTCTCTGTTCATCTCCTCACGCTGCCCAGCATCCTTGCAGCCAGGGGCTCTCTCCCCACTATTGCTGAAGCCCCACCCAGGCCAGCCTTCTTGGCGGGGTCCCAGATTCATGAAAAGCCCTAATCCTTCCAGGATGGGCTCTCAGCAGTAGCCTGGGAGGGGACGGCTCTCAAGGGGTTTCCGTTCACACTGAGGGTGGCGACCAGTGACACATTGCAGCTGGGACTCCAAGGTCACTCCTGGCCGCCCCCCCCCCCCCCCCCCCACAAGCCCTGGCTTCTGCCTCTGAGATAAGGTGGAATTTCCGAATTTCCGGCAGTGGGTAGAAAACCTCCCTAAGTCATCTCCAGTTCATATACATCAAGGGCACTCCAAAGATGGGGAACAAATGAATCCCAGATGAAGTCACAAAAAGGAGGAGTCAGGAAATGAAAGAGAGAACAGTAATTGTCTCCAAGGTAGACCACAGAACCCCCATTAGGCACCTGCTGTGTGCAAGAGTAGGATGGCGCTCTCTCTCTCTCTCTCTCTCTCTCTCTCATGTATCCCACAAGAAGTGTGTGGCCCTTTAAGGAAGCTGGTGCATATAGAAGCCTGAAATTACCAAGCCTGAAATAAGTCTTACGTAAATGCCAATTTCTTATGGGGCTTTTTTGCATGTCTCTCTTTTTTAAAATGTATGATATATAATGGGTTCATTTTTGCCGAACGCAGCCTCTACCTTAATTAAAGCTCGTTGTGGATTAAAGACGTGGTGGCAATTATACCTTAAATGCGAATACATTTGGCAAAGAGCAGGGAGCTGGACAAGGAACAATTGCTCATTAGGCTTCATTCTGGTACCACCGCTCCAGGCTGGGGGCGGTGGGCTGGGCCTCAGAGGGGGTCGCTGGGGGCAGAGGGGGATGTAGGTCTGAGCTGAATAGAAGTCCGCACACCCTTCTCTTGCCATCAGCGGCCCCCTCGCCTGGCTGTCTCAGTACCTGGCAAGGGGATGTCAGATGTGGGGGGCACTAGAAATCTGCCAGTCAGACCCATTCTCTGCCCAGAGGAAGAACCCGAGGGCCAGAGTGGAAGGGGCCGCAGCAGGGCATGGAGCATGGAGTAAGGATAGTGGGAGGGGGCTGCCAGGGAGTGGGGTGGTGTGTACAGAGAGGGTGCAAGGGGCCATATTCTTCCCCAGCATCCCTGGTGGGTGGGTCCTCTGCGTCGTCCCCATGCCCAGCCCTCTCTGGGCCCCCACTGAGGACCTACCAAGAGCACAAGGATGCTGGGGCCTTGATAAATATAGTCCACCAGGTCGCCGGGCTCCTTGCCAAACCAGCACCTGCAAAGATGGGGTGGTTGTGAGCGGCCTGCCGAGCCACGGTCTGGCCACCACAGTAGACTTGGGCCCAGGGTTCTCTGGCTTGACCCTTCCCGAGACCCAATCTCTAGGGCTGTGCCTTCCCAAAATGCCTGGGTGGACGGCCCTGGCCCCTCTGACCATCCCAGCTGCACCCCTGGGCTGCCTTTTGCCCTCCATGGAGGGTCTGGTCTCCCCAGCTGGACTGAGGGCAGGCCCTGGGTCTCCCCACACCTCCCTCCTCACTCCCCTACCCTATGCCAGACTGTGGCACCCAGGGCTGGGCAGGCAGGAGGTTCACGAATGAAGGGACAGCTGGGCTCCCCCTTGCTGGCCCAGGGCCCAAGCACCCTATAGCACCTGTTCCTGCATTGCTCGGGACCTGCCGTCCCGCACGCCAGGCACTCAGCCGCACAAAGCAGCAGCTGTAGAGGTGGGAGTCTTCTCCAGCCCTGGACCCTGGCCTTTCTCTGAGCTGAGGCCTCATTCACCCGGTGAAGGGGGCCTGCTGCTACCAGAGGCCTGGTTATTCTCTGGGGATGCGGGTGGGTGTAGAAGCTTCAGAGTCCAAGGGAAGGGGTGGGGCCAGGACGCAGTCTGGCTCCGTCAACCACTCCTACTAGACCTCAGGAAGGGCCACATGGACTTGGGGAAATTCTGACTGTGTCCTCTGAAACTTTAGAGGTCATCCAGTGCACACTGCCTTAGACAGGAATCTCCCCTGGCGCCACCTCCCAGCACTGGGGTTTCTGGTCTTTGCTTGAACACCCCCTTTGACAGGAAGCTCACTACGTTTCACGGCACCCCAGTTCTGCCCCTGCCCCCAAATCTTACCTGCTCTCTCCAGCCTCGGAGACCCCTTGGAGATCTGTATCCAGAGACTGACACTCCCTTGTCCCCTCTAGTTTTAACTTGGGGCACCCAGCTTCCCAGCTACTGCTTGGCTGAGCCATGGCCAGAACTGCCATCATCTGGGTGTGGCTTAGATATCAACATCTCTGGTGCAGGGAGGGTGGCAGGATGGGACAATGTACCCCAGGCAGGGACTGCGATGCCAGAATAAAACAAGTGCCCACTTCTCTGGCCCACCGGTCTGTGAAAGGCGCATTGACACAGCCTTGGATGTGCTCTAGGCTGACAGCCTCCAGCACTTGACCTCCTCTATATACCCTGGGCCAGACTTGCCACTCCGAGGAGGAGGCCTTACCGAAGGCCAAAGGGGTCATGCATTAGGGCACTTAAAAGACCCATGATTCCTAACTCATGACACCTACCACGCGAGTATCTCTGGGTGCCAGGCATATCTTCTCAATATAGGGACAATGGGAAAGTAAATCTGTCCTGGAAGGGCTCCAATTCCTGCCCCAAGGCCTGGCTGGAGCCCTTGCCTGACCTTTCCTGACACCCCTCTGACCCCTGCAGGTGGCCGGTCCTACTTACAGTTCATTTTCATAGTAGAGTTTGCCAATGGCCCAGGCAACGATGATGGGACAGGGGATGCCTGAAAGAAAGACAGACATAGGCTACAGTGGACAGACAGATGGTCAAGGGCCCTCTTGTAGAACACAGGGTGAGGGGACCACAAGGGGCCTGGGACCAGTCATCCAACTGCAGGCCATCCGTGGCCCCATCCTGAACCCCGCTTCCCCCTCTCTCAGCAACCTCTCTAAGTGGGTCAGACAGATGAGGTGACAGCATGATTTTTCTGAGATTGCTCGATAGAGAAGTGGAGCTGGCCAGCTTGTCTTCCGAAACCAGAGACAAACACCTTTGGATTGGTCTTCCCAGGCAAGGAGAGGAGGGCTATTTGTAAAATGTGCTGTTGGAGGGACTGCTCGCTTCTTCCTCACCAGCAGTGGAAGGGAGGGGCTGCATCCTCGGCCTGTCCTGGGGACGGCAGGCAGGGCTGTGCACCTGTCCTTGGACCCAAGATGAAGGGAGGTGACCTCGTAAGCACTGCCCCTCCCCACCAGGCCCCGCGGCCCCCAGGGACCCTCACACCATCCGATGAAGAGGAAGAGCCCCTTGCGCAGGTGCTCGGTGGAGTAGGTCATGACGATGGCCGTGTGCAGGTAGCAGCCCTCGACAAACATCCAGAAGAAGTTGGTCACCACGAAGTAGTTGAAGATGGTGGTGACGCAGCGGCACCAGACCTGCACGGGGCAGGTGGCAGTCAGGGGCAGCCTGGGGCCAGGGCCCCAGTGCATGGCGCGGGCACCCGCCAGGAGTCGCCTTGTGGACATGCGTTCAAGACCCTCCAATCTCACTCTGGGAAGCTTCATGTTCCACCCAATTCTCTCTCGCTGTTTGGGATGAAGTTAAGACGCCAGCCTGCACCGGTGCCTTCTTTGGCTTCTCCCGCAGCACTTTCTAATCTCCCTTTTTCATAAAGAAAGAGGGAGTCTGGCCCTGAGCTTTCTGCGGACAGGGGCTAGGACTGAACAACACTGTTGTGTTTTCATGGTCAGTTTTTTGAGAGTCACCTTCGGTCCACAGCAAGGTTTCCATTTAGGGATGAAATGGGAAATTTCACATAGAAAAAAAGGAGTGAGTCAATTAAAAGCAAGTTGTTATATAAATAATAGTGCAGGGGTTATGAAGGTGAGGTGCAGCCATCGAGGTGATTCTCCAAAATCTCTGGTTTGGGCAGATTCTGGGCTTAGAACGATCACTGCTGGCTCTGGGTGGAGCCTCACCATCTCCGGGGCAGGTTGCCATACCCCACTGAACCCCACTGTGACATGAGAAACTACTAATGGCGTCTTACAGGGCGGCTAGAGAGGCAGGCTGGCTAAGGCAGGTACCAAGAAATGAGGGTTGTTGCCATTTGCCTTTGTCCCTGTCCCTTTGAACAGAGCTACCCTCCCAAGTACCCTGCAGAGGGGAGATGGGGGTGCAGGCAGAGTAAAAGCCTGTCTAGGGCTGCAGCGAGCCATGGCCAGCTCTCAGGCCTCCTGACCTGGCCACCGCTCCCCAGGCTTCGTCCCCAGGGTACCCTCAGAGCCGAGGTTGGGATCTGGGGGGACGGCGGTCAGGGGAGCCCCGTGGTGGGTGTTCTCTGTCCCGCAGACAGCGCATCCCTTCTCTGTCCGGCGCTGACGGCTCCGGCTGTCAGCTGGGTCCTGTGCTCAGCTGGTCTCTGCCTCTGTGGCTTTCCCCCAGGGTCCCAGCCCTGATCTCGGGCCCCACGAGGTTGTCTGTCTCCTCTTCTCAAAAAGGCCTGCTGAGGTGGGAAGCTCCTCCCAACCCTGCTTTTTTTCCAAGTTAAGCAACATTTTATCAGTTCAAGCTAATATGGGGCTGCAGGGCCCCCCAAACTGGATTGGACTCAGTGAGTGCCGAGGCAGGGCTTAATGGGGGGCCAAGTTAAGGGTCAAACCAGACTGGGTATCTGCTCAGGTCCACCCTTCAAAGAAAATGTATTGAGAAGTCTCTAATGGTGTGCCACAGGACTCTGTGCTTGGCCTCGTTAGTCTCGGGTTTTGCAGTGACTTGGACATAGTACCACAGCAGTTGACACAGCTCTAGGGTGGATAGCTGACACGTGGGGTGGCCTGGTCAAGATCCTGCTGGCTTAGATGTGGAGGCATCATTACAGTGTCACCTAACCTCCCTGAGCCTCAGTTTCCAGGTCTGTATAATGGGGAAAATAATCCCCACAGGGCTCTCATTGGAATTGAGATAAAGCCCAACGGAGCTTAGTTCCAGCCTCTTCTTCTCTAAGGGGTCTTTGGGAGGTCCTGGATTCAGAAGATGGAGAGTGGAACAGGCCAAACCAGTCCAGTTTGCTGTCTGTGCTGCTCCCAAGACCCAGGCCTGGCGGCAGCCCCTGCCCCACCCCTACCCAGCCTGACTCTGGGCCCAGCTCGGGAGGGACAATGATTGGGGGAGAGATGAGCTCAGGCTCGGGTCTACACCTGAGGACCGGGCGAGAGAGGTTGGTGCCCCCAGAGCCCGGAGCCCCCCAGCCCCAAGCCTCGGCCTGGTGACCTCATTGCTCTCGTGCACTTCGTGGTCGATGAGCTGCAGCAGGAACCACATGACATTGCGCAGGATAAAGGTGGTGATCAGATTCCAGTGAATCACGTTCCGCAGACAGCGGATACTCCTGTGGGAGGCCCAGGTCAGGGATCAGGCAGGATCAGGAGCGAGCTGAGACGGGCTCTGCCTGGGGTCAGGAATCAGCTGGGACTGGGTCCCCCCACCCCGAGGCCAGGTAAGAGACTCAGTCTCGGGTGCAGGCAGGGCTGCACCGCGAGCCACGTTCCCCTTCGTGGTGGCCACAGCTGGATCTCTCTGAGCCAGCTCCCCCTTTGCATCGTGCATGCCTGCCAGCGGTCAGTGTCCTGGCAGCCCCCCCAGACCCCTCTGTCCACTGGCTTCAGGGCCCCCCTACCCTGCCGAGTGGAGGCAAGACCGTGTGGGAGGGGTGAAGGGGGTGCTGTGGGGGAGGGGCAGGGAAAAGCAGCAGGCCGCGGAGCGGGGACGACTCACCGCAGGGCCAGGAAAAGCAGGAAGGCGGCCACGAGGGCGACCACAGAAACGCAGTGACCCAGGTAGTTGACAATGAGGGCGACGCGGTAGTGCAGGTCGTACTTCCTCTGCTGGACAGACAGACAGACACACAGGCGGATGGAAGCATGGGGCACACGGAGGGTGGGGCTGGGCACTCCAGCTATGGCCACCCTGTGTGTCGTGACCTTGGAGGCAGAAAGTGGCTTCAAGTGTCATCACCACATCTGGCTCCCAGTGCTCGCTCCTGTTGGCTGTGGGCAGCTCTTCGTCGAGACAAAGGGTTGCAGTCAGACCCCCCCTGACATGCAGTTTGGGGGCAGGTTTGGACATAACATCTTCTGGGATATGCCAGAGGTGAGGCTGTCTACATTTTCTTGTCTTTTTAATTCCAGACTCAGCTCAGACCCTGGCTGGCTGAGTGACAGAGGGTGAGTTGATTTCTATCTCTGGACCTCAGTTTTGACATCTGTATAATGGAGCCAACCTGCCCTCCTGCCTCAGAAGCAGCAAGCTCTGGGAAGTCTGGAGGGTGCCCTGGGATCAGTCTGTCCCGGATGTAGCAGTGAGGGGGCGCAATGTCTGTAGAGAAGTTAAGAGCAATATTAACGCCGAATAAAAGCGTTTTTATGATCACCACATGCTGGCAATTTCTAAACAGAGGCAGTGATAAAGTACTCCTTCTTGCCAGGGCAGGCTATCCCCTGACCCCCCGCCCACCGTGGTTTGCCCCTGCTCAGAGAGGCTGTCGGGTGGAGAGGTGAGGCCAGAGGTCTGGCGGGAGCCTCCTTCATGACCCATCCCACTTGCCGCTCCTGTGGCCCTATTGCAGACCGCTTCTGGCTCACATTTTGTAGCATCCCTTTCTCAGGGTAGCTCAATGGTTTTCCTCTGAACCAGGACTTCTTGGGGAAAGTTGCAGCCTTGCTGGGGGCTGTAATGGGTGAATGAGGAGGGGGGTGGAGGTGGGATGTGTCAGTTTGGGTCAGGAGTGAGGCGTAACTTCAAAGGGGAGGAGGCTGGCACCACACGAAGCCTGGAGCCCAGTTCCAGAGCAAGGGGGCTGCTGAGGTGTGAGCGGGACCTAGATTCCCATGGGGCCCAGCCTTCCGGAGGCTGTGTTCGTTTCCAGGTGGAGCCATAGAATCAGATGCTAGATGGGGAAACTGAGGCCCAGAGGAGGAGGAAGGAAGTCACATAGCCTGTTAGATGTTGGGACACTGGTCACACCGTCATTCCCTTCTTGTGTCACATGCCAGACATGGTTTTGTTCTCTGCTAGCCAGGGCCCTCCCGAAGGTGGGGGTCTGTGTCCCCCTTCTCTCCCGTGGTGTCACTGAGCAGGGGACAGGATGTGGAGGCAGGGGGAAGAAGTGCAAAAATGTGTGGCTGGGCTGCACAAGGACCAGTTCTGTCACCCTCAGGATGCTCTCTGCTCAACCTGAGTCCTGATACCTGTAGAGGGATGAGGGGTGGGGCAGGTGGGGCAGGTGGGGGCCACTCACCTTATCATCCAAAATGGGCTCACACTGTGAGTAGTTGATCCGTGAAGCCCACGTCCCATTCTCCAAGCACTCTCGGTAGGCATTCCCTACAAAAGATGCCAACCACCAAGAGGCAGGTCATTCCCCTCCTCAAGAACACTCCCTGGCTCCCGGGTGCCCACAGGATAAGGTTCATACTTCTCAGCCTCTCTAGGCCAGGAAACACAACACACATCTAAAAGTTCACGGGAAAGTCATTTAGGTGAAAATTGTGCAAAAGGCTTACCAGCTGAAAGGCAGGATAAAACCCATTTTTGATACAATCTTTGACTAGCATCTTGTCTACATTCTTTAATTTTGTTCGGAACTGAACCTGACTGGGAGCCCTGGGTTGTGGCTGAAGATTTGCTGCTTTCCGCATACCCAAAAATTTCCATTCTTCTCTCATTTTATTTTTATTTATAATTATTATTTTTTGAAGATTTTGTTTATTTGACAGAGAGAGAGAGAAAGAGAGAGAAAGCAGGAGAGCACAAGCAGGGGGAGCAGGCAGAGGGAGAAGCAGGCTCTCCGCCGAGGAGGGAGCCCAATGCGGGGCTCGATCTCAGGTCTCTGAGATCATGACCTGAGCCGAAGGCAGCCACTCCACTGACTGAGCCCCCCAGGCGCCCATCTTCTCTCACTTTATACGTACAAGATCCTTACTTTTTCCCAGCAGCAGTTCTGTTTTAATACCAGCTACCCTTCACAGAGTGGGCGTTCACCACAGACCAGACCGTCTTGCAACCGCTTTAGCTATGCTCGTCCATTCAATCCTCCCAGCAACCCCATGAGTAATAGTAACCCATTTTACAGAAGAGGAAACTGAGGCACAAAGAGATTAACCTACTTGTCAAAATCTATAAAAATGAGAAGGGGTAGAGCCAGGATTCAAATCCAGGAGGTCTGGCTTCAGGTTGCATGTTCTTAACCCCTTGCTATCAAGCAGTGGGACACAGGAACGAGGGACACTTGGGGAAACGGGACTGTGTCGCCGATCTTGAGCTGTGGCTGCCTGCAAGAGCACCATGTGAGATCTCTCAGTGTCTGACTGGAATCTGCCCAGACACTTCAGAGAACCAATGTCTGATGTCCACAAGTGCGGGCTCCCCCCGCCGGGAACGCAGGAAGATCAGAGAATGCTCATACCTACCTTTCTTGAAATCCCAGCGTGACAGTCAGTCCTAGCTCCTAAGCCACCACCGCCAGGCAGCCCACCCTCAACCTCCAGCCAGGAGGAACCCCTCCCACCTGAGAACTCCAGAGCCCTTTGTCAGACTCTGCTTTGCCCCATGAGTGTGAATGTGACCTCCCCCACTTCCTTACAAATTCTGAATGATCCGTGGCTTGGGGGTGATTTGTACTGGGGTTTTCTGCTCTCTGGCTAGTGGGTTGTCTGTGGGTTTTTCTTTTGGGTTGCTGTTAGATATATACTACAGAGCTAATTAAATAGCTCCCGGAGCACAGAGTCACAGAGCTGGAGGGGGAAACTTAGATTGCTTCTGGAAACAGTGAGTTCTGAAATAATTAAGTTACTCAAAAAACCCACCTCTGTTGAGCTGACAGTGAGTTGAAAGCAATGGGATTATTAAGGAAGCACTTGCTGAGGAGCAGAAACATGGGGGAGAGTCTATTAGGTTAATTATTTTTGAATTTGGTGCTCTGAGCTCAGAGGTTTTTCAGATTAAGGGCTATTATTGGCCTGTGGCTGCCCCCCTGGCCCTGGTGGGAGTCGAGGCAATCCTGACCCCAAAGTGAGGACCCCAGCCGCTTGCCTTTCACGGTGGCACCGATATCCACTCGTGGGTTTTCTCCTTCCTCAGGGCTGTTTTACTACAGAAAGGTTGTGTGTTAAGAGAATTTTGATGCATAGGGTTAGTGATGTTACTGAACTAAAGACAGAGTGTGGGGTGAGTCAAAGGGACCCATGTAAAAGTATCTGGGGACGGCTGGTCCTTTTGTAAAATGAACACTCCCTTACTGATTGGGGTTTAAGGTCCCTCTCAACAGCCTGTCTGAAGGAAGATCCAGGCTCTGGTTGAAAGGGCAGAACATTCATTCATCTTCTAGGGATGTGTTCAGAGATGTTATCCAGCTTTCCTGAAGTTCAGTGCTAAGCCCCTTCCTCCAGGAAGGCCTCTTTGATTGCTCCCATCTCACAGATTTCTCTCTCCTGAGTCCCCCACTCCACCCCACCCCAGAGTCCTAATAGTCTGGGCCTCACACTTCATCCCTCGCTCATAACCTGGCCTGAGTTGTTTAGGTGTGTGAGTCTGGTCCCACTGATCGGTGTGGGGCTAACCAAGGACAGAAACTCAGAATACTTTCCAAAGTATGATATCTCATGATGGTACTAACCATGGGGTGGGCTGGAGGATGAGAGGGAGTCAGGGTAGAGATGCTGCCAATCTGAGACCTTTCTGGTCCCTTATGTCAGTGCCCCTCGGGGGGTACCAAATTTTATGACTTCTGTCTCCTGGCTTTCTTTTTCTGGAATCCACCCCTCTCCTGCCATCACTCTACATGGCACTTGACGTTTGCCCTAACAGGCCTGGCACATAGCCAGCTCTATGCTGAAGCCCGCCTTGAAACGCCCTCCTCACTCTCACCCATGGCTCACCGACAAACCCCTTCCTATCTTCTAAGCCACAGCGCAAGCGCCATCTCCTCCCACAGGCTTCCCCAGCACTCCAGGTGTTTAAGCAATCCCTTCTTTTTTTTTCCTCCAAATGCCTCCTCTAGGCCTTGCCATCTCTTGAAACACGGGCCTTCACATTTGACTGTCCTTGAGCCACACCAACACATCCATGTGGTGTCACAATCCAGTACAAACCCACCCACACCCCCACCTCCACCCCACACACGCCCTACATTAGTGAGGATGGTTTCACAAAGCAAAATTCCTCTTGACCACAGCTATGATATTTCTCTTCCTATTCTATTCTAATGAATTCTCTTTATTTTATATACAAATGCTGGTCATGACTCAGTAATTTGACTTCGCCATCCACTATTGTGCTCTGACCCATAGTTTGAAAACCAAAAATCTATTTTAGAGCATTTGCCATTATTCACTATGGGTTTCATCTTTTTGGACCTGATCCTTTTTTCTTTGCTACTGAACTTAAGCTCCCTGGGGACAGACAGGTAGGCAGAGACCATATGGGAATCTCCGGATCCCCCGCAGGAATAAGCCATCACATACGTATGGGCTGCATCAAACCAACTCGGATGTGCCAACACCTTGGAAAGCAGGGTGTCTGAGATATGGGGTGTGGAGGAAGGGGCCTTCCCTCTGGGGGCCCAGTCGTGCCTGGAGATGTAGTTCTGGTGACAGACTCCAGGTACCAGAGGTCTGGAAGGCAGATATGCCCAGCTCTTCGGGAAGCTGGCTAATGAGGACGCTGTGCCCTCAAGCACAGCTCTGGACAGGAGAGAGTAAGACAGAGGAGTCCCCCCCACCTGGGAACCATGGGAGGATGGGCACGGAGAGTCTGAGGGCAGGTGGCCAGACTGGGATCGCAGGGCTGGATGCGGTGAGGGGGGTGCCTGTTGCCACAGCAACCCAAGTGCCCCTGCCGAAGATCGATGCTGATGGTGTGCAGCGTGGTCTGCCAGGGGCATTAGGGTCTGGAGGATGCAAGCAGGATCCTCTCTTGCCGGGCTCTGTGGACTGGGAATCCTGGTCCCCGTTCCCTGCAGTGTGCCAGGTCTCTTCCCCCTAAGTGCCCCTGGCCTGTCAAAAGCCCCATTACCGTGGCCTTTTCCTCTTTCAGATGCTGACCCCTTTCTGATGAGAGTTCTTGGTGCAGGCAGTCACCTAAGTGGTTCAGAAGCTTGGCTGCGAGAAGAGGGGGGCTGCTTTCCTGGCTGTAGATTTGTCTCTGGTTGGCTGGCAAAGTGACCTTAGCCAAGTCCCCCCCTCTTGGCCTCAGTGTCTCCTCTCAGTTAATGCGATGTACATCGTTGCTCAAAGATGCTGTTGGCATCTCAGGGAGGTCAGGTCTCTGTTGTGTAGGACTTTTCAACCCGCCGAATGCCAGTACTACCATCGAGCTACGTAACAACTCCAAACATCCCTGTATCACTTTCAAGTGCTCCCTACGTTGGCCCTTCTATGTCTGATGGTCTAACTGACAAGGCAGGGGAGACAGGGACCGTGAGGGACCATTTTTGGGTGGCAGTTGTGGGGGAGGGAGTGTAAGAGACAGGTGGGGCACAGCGAGTGAGTGGTGGAGGGGCAGCAACATGGTCTTTGGATGTCTGGGAAAACAATGACATGAAGTTAGGGCAGGGCGCCTGGGTGGCTCAGTTGGTTAAGCGACTGCCTTCGGCTCAGGTCATGATCCTGGAGTCCCGGGATCGGGTCCCGCATCAGGCTCCCTGCTCAGCGGGGAGTCTGCTTCTCCCTCTGACCCTCCCCCCTCTCATGTGCTCTCTCTCATTCTCTCTCTCTCAAATAAATAAATAAAATCTTAAAAAAAAAAAAAGAAGTTAGGGCAAGAGGTGCTGGCAGGAAGGTGGGATGGGGCCAGAAGCCCTACTGACTGAAGGAATGAGGTCACTGTTAAGGACAGGAACTTTCAGCACTGTGGACAGCAGAATGCTACCTCTCCCCACTCCCCGCTGCCCACCAAAGCCTGTGGGCGACCTTGGAGAGCTCCTGAGACAGAGCCCTCCGGCCCAGCATTCCGCCCAGGAAAGATTACACTGATTTGTGCTGCTCTTCGAGGCCCAGCTTCAGCCCTAGCTCCCCCAGGTGCTTCCATGGCTGCTCCAGCCCCCTGAGGGTTCCACTGCTCGCTGCTCCTAGCCCACCCTGGGGCAGGACTGTTCTTTTCTGCCACCTCAGGCGTCCAGGCTCTGCCAAGCTGCACAGCAAATGCCAAATAGTCACACCTGCAGGAGGCACCTGGGTCTCCCACACAGGCCACAGGGAGGCTGAGCACCGCTGTCAGAACTGCTGCCGCCCAGAGTACAATCCCACACGGGGTAGGGGCTGTAGTCCAAAACAGCAAACCTGCAGTCAGGCGTCCTCCCGCTTCCAGGCAAGAAAGCCTCCCCTGTT